CACACACACACACACACACACACACATATACCCCTGCCCCTTCCCCACTATTGCCTCTCAGATCTTTAACATATTCAAATCTGTATGACTGTCTAGCTCTCTAGTGCTTGGGTGGGATAGAAAGAAGGAATCATGGGTATAAAGCATAATTTGCAAACCCAGAGATGCTGTTGCACATCTGGCCAAGCTGAAGGCAGCCGTAAGGCCTCTTGGAGGCTGCAGACCCAGAGCCTCTCCCAGGGGAGAGGCATTGCTGAAATGTTTCATTGCAGAGACCATACGCTTGGCAGGGATAGGGAATAGCTGTTTCTGGACTCATGTACCCTGTTTGTTCAGTATGGAAAAGTCTAGTTCCCTACGGGATATCCCTTGTGGGAGCCTGCCAGAGAGTAAGAACAGAGAATTGATGAGCTTTGGTGACTCAAATCTGGAAGCACAAAAATCACCAGGCCTAGAATTTGGCTTAATAAACTGATTTACATTCTAAAATGTTTTTCTGAACACTCTGGGATTTTTTGATGTGAGGTTGGCAGGGATGGTATGGTTGGCTGGAGGGGTGGTACTGATTGGCAGAATTCTTAAATGTTCTGATGACCAGGTCACAAAGGATGTCACCAGGTTCCCTTCCCTCCACCCCACTTAGGTAAGGATGATGTGGTTTGACTTAATGGAAATATGTAGTGCGGGGGTCACATCATTTTGTGTTGTTTGCAAAGGAGATTTGGTCCATGCTGCCAAAGAATCATTTCAGAGCATTGACATAGTGTTTGGTCTCAGGGCTGGAAGGTTATTATCTGCAATGCCAAGAAGTGGGAATTGCCCCATGGAGACTGTTGTAAAACAGACCTGGCGTTTCTGGACAGTGTAGCTCGTTCTCTTGTTGCACCTTTTCTCAGCGCTTTCTCTCACTCTGAAGTTGATTTATTTCCCTTCCCATTTGTGTTGGGGGCGGTTATGCTTCAGCTTAACTGGTAATGTGGGAATTTCTTCCCTGATGAGTGGGTATGCAACACTTTCCCTTGAAACGTGTCTTCTCCTGGGACTCTGCAAGGTCCTCTGCTAGCTGGCCTGGGTTTTCAATCACATCTGAATCCTAGAGAATTTTCTCGTCTCATACTGCCTGCTACAGTATTTAAGAATTCCCAGCAGAAAGTGAGATGCAGAGGCTTTGGTGTTGTTTTGAACTTGGCTGATTATTCCTGAGATGGCTATTTATTTATACAGCTTTGAGGAAACCTGAAGTCCTGAGAGGCAGTGGTGGTTTCCAGGAAGGAGGAAATAAAGTTTTTAAGGTGCTATTGTGGTGAGACTGTGAAGTCCAAAGGGGAGGGAGATTGATTCCTTCATCATCACTCTGCTAGTTCTGCTACCAAGAGGGAAGCTCCCTCGACTCAGGAAATGGGGTCTCCTGAGGTGCCCTCCTATTCATTTTCCTGCCTCCCTCTAACAACAACCCGCAGAGTTCAGTGAGCTGCCTGTCACAGAGCTGCAGACTCTGCCAAGGTATTGTTCCAGCATTAAGTGACCTGTAACCTCAGGAGATGTGAATGTGAAGGACCTGCAGCTCTTGCCTGTGAAGCATCTGTTGTCAGCAGCTTTTGCTCATGAAAAGGAATACCTTGGGCTTTTCATAGGCCACCAGTGTGTCCTTTTCTTTATAGCTGCTGTTATGTAAAGGTTAAGAAAATATGGGTGAAAGGCAGATGAGATGGTGAACACAAAAAAAGAAGGAACGAGGTAGTTCCCCTCGAGGCCAAGGTACTTTTTCTAGTACTTTTTTCCATGGTTGATCATCATGAGGACCTGCTAGCCAGGAAGGACATGTTAAAACCTGTGGTAGAGACCTCACAACTCATTCTGGCCTTGTCCTAATGCTTACCTCCATGAGGCAGCTGGAGCCAAAAGGAGTATGAGCTGAGATGGTCAGAAGTTCCAAGGGTGTTTCAGGAAAAACAGCCTAGGTCACAGGATATAACACTTGACTGGGACAGAGAGCTCTGTGGACGTGCTGCCAAGTACCCGGTGTGCAGCTGAGGCGTCCATCCAGACCCCACTGTGTGGGCTGCCATTGGGAGAGGGGTGAGCAGAGCACTCAGCGGGGTTGGTTGGTGGGAAGATGCACTTTTCCATTTCCCAGCACATGAGTCATCTTCTCTGGGCCCCTGAGCTGTGCTTCCATGGACAGTGGCAAGAAGGGGGTGTTGTGGCTGAGTAGCAGCATCTGTGCCGGGGGTGGGGAGAGAAGGGGGTTGGGGCAAGGGTAAAGATTTAAATCCTTCACTAATCAACAGCAGTTTGAATCACATTTTTATGAGTAGGGAAGTGATAAATCAGACTTGAGTGGTCAGTCCCCAAGTCCTGTCAGCTGGTGCCCTTCTAAAGGCTTCTCTCCAGGCCAGTCTGCATGCTGTCAGAGTCACCACCCAGCCACACGGGTCCCTTACTAAAACCAGGAAGCAAGGGCCTGATGTTGCCTGGCCCTCCCAGGTACTTGAGGTCTGTAGTGATTTGGCAGTCACTGTAAGTTACAGAACATCTGGGCCATCATTTTTCTTTCCATTTCTTCTTGGATGTGTCCTTCTGGGTGGGTGTTTGCATAAGTCAGTTTCTGGACTCTGTGGAGAAAGAGCATTCCAGCCTGAAGCAGAGTGATCTGTGACCCCCCAAGGCACAGTCAGACTCCTCTCAATCCATGCCTGGCCTTCCCTGAAGATGTGGTACTTCAGGACTGATTTGGAAAAGAACAGGGAAGTCCTTACTAAATGTTCTTTGCTGACGTTTGGTTCATTTTGTGTGTGAGGATCAGTGCTATCCTTGCATGGTTCTCTTTGTTTCACAGTCCCATCTTCAAGGGGTGGAAGTAATATACGTTAGTGAGTTTATTTTTCAAGTATACTTTCCTTATGATTAGGAGAGACAAGAACTATTTGAAAGATTTGGACACCTTACAATGCAAAATGGAGGGAAAAGGCTTTAGATGGTGGTGAGAGAAAGCTATCTTCTTTTCCTAGCTTATAGTTTTCCCTACAACTCAGGGAGGCAGAGGTTGTGAGGTGAGATTTGTCCCCCTCCTTTCTTTTTGGGGAAAATAAGTCTTATTATGCTGCATCATGTAGCCACGTAAACTTTCTGGTCTCAGCATCCTCTTAAAACTCAGGACTACTCAGGGCTATTGCTGGGGGAGACCTTTAACTGCTCATCTCATCAGAACCCTGTGCAATTAATTACCCTACTTTAGTGGAACTACACGGAGCCTAGAATCTTAATACTCTACACTGAAGTGGCTGTGGACAGATAAATTTGGGGGGTATGTAGGGGTTCTTAACATAGTGCCTGGTATTTATTAAGCTCTTGGGAAGTATTGAATACACAGATAAAGAGGGCCACAATTTTGGGCAGGCCAGCTCTCACTGAAAAGTGTGTTTTTTACCTGGCCAGTGTCCAAAATCGTCCTAGTTAGTGAATGATGGGTGGTGGTGAGATAGGTGGTTCCCAGAGTGATGTCATGATTGGTAATCTCTCTGCGGCATTCCCAAGCCTAAAGGGAGAAATGGGCCTTCTCCATGTGCTTCGGCATTTAACACTTCAGTAGCCATCTGATTGGTTGACACGATGCTCGAGGGTGAACTCTTGATCTAAACCACAGGCGCTTGAAGAATTTTAATTTTTTAAAAATTCTGTAATTTAAGGAAATAAAACTCAAGTTTCTAGAGGAGGAATAATTGAAGCAACATTTGTGGTAGGGCATCACTGAAACCCCACTGCATCCCCCATCTGTGCCCAATTTGCTCCAATCTGGCCCTTTTTTCCCCCTTCCTTTCTCTCTCCCCCCTTTCCTCTCTCTCTTTTTAAAAAATATGTTTTATAATTCCTGGAATCAAAACCATCTCAGGCACACACTGTTTTATTTTACTGTATTATTGGATTATACTTCCTATAAATCATTGGATGTTATTCATTGGCCACCACTGGAATAACTTCCCTTTTCTGTGCCCTGGCCCCTTCTTTTCCTCTTCTTTTTCCGCCTCAGCCAGTTCATAGGCAACATAGGCCTCTATTTCAGTCTTGTAGAAAATCCCTGGTGGCAGCAAGAGGGCACCCAAGAGACACCTTGTGTGTGCCTTTGGTGCTCCCTGCCCTTAGGGAACATGTAGGGACTAGAATTGAGGTAGGCTGACTAGCATTCCTTTCATTATCATTTCTGATTGCTTTTATGGTTGGTTAGTAATCCCAAATTGCAGTAGGTGGAGGGATTACCACATGTGCACCTCTAGAGTGAGAGAGAACCATGACCTCTACATGGCCCAGTAGAGCTCAACTCAAGATGTGTGGGACGCTTGAGATGGGGACCTCACCTCTGTGCCATTGTTGTTTATGGCAATTAGCTCTAGTTAATTGAGTTGTTTAGTTCGTAGTAAAAGCTTCCTTGTCACACACCATATAACAGTCTTCAGACCTTCAGTAAAACAGTTTGCCTCACTGTGGCAGTTGCCTTCTGTCTAAATCTCTTCCCAAGCAGAATGTATGGAGTGCCTAATCCTCTGCTTGTCAGAACAATTGTATAGGAAATCCACCTTTCATCATAAAGGGGTTAGATTTGAGTTTAGCCTTACAAACTAACTGTCCCTTTTATTCTTCCTTCTAAATCTCTGTTAGAAAAAGCCCTGGGACTTTGTCTCCACAAGGATCCATGAGTTGATTTTACAGGTAATCAGTACTGCCTCATCTTTATTTAGAGAATTGTTTCATTTAGTGTATGTTAATGAAAAAGAGCCAGTTTGGCTAACAGATTTTATAAGGAA